TATCCAGCACTTCATGTATATGAAGCATTCCGCCTTCTGGGCGAAGAGCTTTACAGGCTGTAAGCCAGTGCGCTCTACAGGACGGTATCAAACCAAGAAATACTCGGTCGGCGACTGCACATGGGGTCACCTAAATCAGTGATCTTACTGTATAATTAATGTATAAAGCACTATAAGTTGGAGTTTCCTACCCTCCTACTATCGCCCTCGATTATGACCATGCGGTCTTGAACATTGTTAGCCTCGGCTGTTCTCTTGAGTGCTTCGCACATATCGTCAGACCAGTCAATTGAGATCACTTGCTTAGCTCCACAACAAACGAGAAATCGGAGAGAGTAATAGCCGAGACCTATAATTAGAGGAATTTGGTCCAAAAAAATGCAGGTCCCTCACAATTCAGATCCCCCTTTCTCTTACCAGCGTACATATCCACAACAGTTTCACCATGACAATCCCATTCAGATATTCGCTGCATTTCTGGCACTTTCTTATTGTTGAATACCCTCTTCGAGGCATCATAGATGAATCTACAACAAAATTAATGAAAATGCTATTCAACCCAAAAAAAGCAAAGTTCAACCTTATTCCATGATCATCCACATGTTCAACCCATCCATGTGGACCATATAAGAGATCAACATGTGGTGTTCTCTCATCGTCGTCGCCGATAAAACGTTTTCGGCCCAGACGAGCGATGTTTAGTGACTCAGCAACAACTCGCCAAAGCTCTCGGCCTGAAGAACAGCCGTAACGAGAAGATAAAAGGATTTTTGAAAAAGAAAGAAAAATTATTTAGTACGACAAGAATAAGAAATCCTGCTTGTGGTCCCTTATAATTTGGTATTGGGATTTCAACTGTGCTAACGCGTACGTGTAGCAAAATTGTATAAAGTAAACCTTCCTTCTTCAGCACATTCATCGTAATTATGTTTTGGAAATTTTTAGAGGACAAAGCTTTCTATTGGTGACTAGAACAAGTATTATCGTTGGCATATTCGCTATACAAGTTGATCAAGGAAAACACTCTGATTGTTACTTTTTGAATAATCAGATCCTCGAAAAGAAATTGGTCCATTGAAACCTGAACTCATATTTGGTCTTGGTTTTATGATCTGCTCTACCTAGCCAAGAAGAAATTTTGGTGAAGGATGCCTCTACGAGTTATGATTTTCCCTTTTCTGAGCAGTTTCCAATTTTGAATCAATTCTCTGATATTATACAAGGATGAAACATTTATTCCACAAAACAATGAGTATCTAGTTAAAACTAATGGGTCTCCAAACATTATTTAGGTTAGTCTTCGTATTTTTTAGCTTTGATGTGCATTAGTCTCCCAAGTATGTACAATCGCTGAGTAGCAATTTCAAATGTTGACTGACTTAGCGAAGAACAAAAATCATTGGAATAGCCGTATCTTTTCTGGCTGCAACGGATTTTGCCATCCCATTTGTTCAATCTAACGTCTTAACACCGCTTGTCACTAGTAGCCAAAGCCACAGCCAGGATGAGTGATTGGCTTATTTTGCTCTCAGGCCACTCTCAGTTCACTGAGATTGATAGATCAGCTGTTGCTGACACCAAAAATTGATCATTAGAAGAGATCTATTGATTCTCCTACCAATGAAAGCCTGAACCTATGTACTCAGTGTGCGAAACGGCTATTTTGAGCAATCATGTCTTATTTTGCAGATTTTCAATGGAGTAAAAAATTCATCCATCATTCAAAAGCAGAATAATGGCATTTGAATAGTCACGCAGAACTTTTTCCCGAAAAATCTGAGTGCTATAGAAATAGGCAGCTATTCTGAATTGGTCGGTTATAGACCATTTTCAAGGTTTTTAGATTGAGAAAAAACAAAGGCAATTTTCAGAGCTTTTACGATAATTGCCCTTGCCTAGCTACAACTTATCGCAACTTTTGCTCAATTGCTGTCTCCAAAAATGTCTATAAGTACGAAAGTTTTAAAAAAGACTGTCTCCGTGCAAATTTTGCTCCTTTCATTTGAGAAGTGGAAATGGCAATCAAGTGCTGTTCAAGTTGCTGTTGGCGACATGCGAGCTATTGTATGTTTCATATCTGTCAAGATGTTGGGACCAAAAATAAT